AAGTTGGCATCCCTGACATATTCAACAATGAGCACATATTACTTTAAAAGTGATGATGAAACATGGCTTTTAAGAGACACATGAGGCTCCGCTTCGGCATGGTAGTGGGTTGCGTCCATCTGCATCTTTCTGTGGGTTAGCTGAACGCGCCTGCTAAAAAGCGTTCTCACCCAGGAACCAGCAGATGGCGTAATGGCTGTTGCTGGATTCCTATGGAGTTGACCACAGTTCGAGTCCCAGACCCAGTGGCTTAAACTCATGCCAGGCACGTGTGCGTGCGTGCCTAAGATTCCGAGAGGAGAATGGAGGAGAAAGGATTGCGGTGTGGCCATCCCCCCAGGGAGTGATTTCTCGCTTTCTATCTCTCTGTCTCTCTCTGTCTTTCTGGTGAACGCATGTGCCCTATAGCAAAAACCTCTCCAAAAAAAAAATGCTCTTGCCTAACGCTTCCATCAAGGGGACAAGGCACCCTGAGGGACACCCAAAAGAGCCAACACAGAAAATAGACTGTCACAAACCCACACTCAGAATGCACGATGCCCGGCTATTGGGTTTTCGGTCCAACAACACAAGAGGCCACGCCCCGTGGTAAACGGCAGTGGCAACGTGGAGAGTCCAGGGTGGTGATACCGAATCTACGAGGGTGCTGGTGGGACAGTGTGATTTTTCCAACACTACACGCTGTCGAAATCTCAGGCTCCTTCAAATAAAGCAGAAACTGGAATTCTGTGGACATCTAGCATGTTCGAGGCTAGATGTAGGAGCCCAACAAAGGTTTGCCTACGGAATTTCCTTCTTTCATCGTCTGCCAGGAGGCTTACATCAGCCTCTCTCCTGTACCACCCAAAGCCCTCAGGAAGAGGAACACACACATGTCATGAAAAGATAAGAGTCTCCACGTGGAAATTCAATTGTATTTATTTTTCTTATACAGAATCAGAGAAGTCAAACACAGAACCAAACCCCAGGTCAAATGGTTTGATCCGATTGATTCGCCGCATACCCTCTGTATGCACAGCGTTCTGAATGACAAATACACACACATAGGTCATATTACAAATGTAGAAGGAACTTTTTTAACAGGTTAAAGTACGAGCACATAAACGATGTAGTGTATCCGGGAAACAGTCTCTGTCAATCCCCCATTTTCCCACTCACGTTCATCTACGCTTTCCTGTTTTCTCAGCAGCTTATTCTTTTTCTGCTAATGTTGTACTTTCAGAAGTTAGCCTCTAATTACATCGTGAGAACACAACCTGTAATGAGCAACACTTTCTCATTCAAGATCACCTGTGTTTGCAGAGAGCTTTCCTGCCACTTTGGGGTTACTCACAACCCCAGCACACTAAATTGTTTCCTTTTTCATGCTCTTCCTGTATATGGTATAATCAAAGAAATGGCATTTCACAACCTAAACACTATGTGGAAACACAAACAAGTTCTTAGTTTTAACAGAATTTCAATTAGGTTTTGACAATGTATTTACCTACAGGAAAATGACACCTTGAAAGAAAGACCTCTGAAATTATATTTCAATTTCACTTTTTAGTATGCTTTTTCTAGACCAAATCGGGGGTGAAATGGTACAATTGACTGAGGTCTAAAAGGTCTAGATATCCCGGCTGTTGTATTATAATGAAAAATAAAGCATAAATAGCACCTTATCACAAATTCTGAAGGGGTTTTAACACTTACAATAGGAAATAGCCATTACAAAAATTGCTCTTACTTTAAATTTCTAGCTTTAGTGTTCTTTCACAAAAAAAGTGCCATATTTTCTGGCCTTAAAAACGACAATAAAAAAATTATATCTGGCTTTATCTATTAGTAAACACATAGTCAGGGTCCATATTTTATTCTGGAAAAAATAGTTATTATAGTCATTAATAAATGTTCCAACTAATCTTGCTAAAAAAAAATTCTTCTAGTATTTCCTAATGCCACAAGCTTACTAGAAAATGACTTCTAAAAATGGGTAATACAAATCATCAATGATTGAACTACTGAAACAAAAAAAGGGGGCTTCTATTTCTTTTACATTTAATAACCTGAAAATAAGTCTATAAAAATATTTTTTAAAAATACAGTAACACTGCTGAGTTTCGTTAGGTCCCTTGTTTTTTTCTTTTTTTTTTTTCCTTTCTTTCTTTCTTTTTTTTTTTTTTTAAGAAACAATGTACAATTATTTTTGCTAACAATGAGTTTGTTTAGGTCCCTTGTTTTTTTTTTTTTTTTTTTCCTTTCTTTCTTTCTTTTTTTTTTTTTTTAAGAAACAATGTACAATTATTTTTGCTAACAAAAGAGAAAAAGAAATAGTGCTCCCTTCAATTTAGTAGCAACATAGACATCTACCCTTACCTCTCTCACAGGGTTTAGAGCCTGGGTCCCTCAGGGAACAAAACCACTTCGTAGTGTGGAAAGCAACAGCAGGGTTTACGCTTGCATCTGTCTAGGGTTTAGCATCAGGGTGGATGGGGCCACGCCCTTCCTCCCTCCCCTATAAAGTGCACCAAAGCCTTCTTTTCTTCTACCACGAAGTCTTTTGGTGTAAAGGTTGCAGTAGGTAACTGTTGCTTTCTTCTCTGGGGGCACCTTTCCCATCCACTTGTCTTGCTTTCGGGGCACCATAACTTGGCTATTGCCATTTCTCGACTGGTATCCTTTCCACCCAACTCCAAAACTCAACTACTTCATCTCTGACCTTTGCACATGCCTTCTGTCCCACAAGATCAAATGCATTTTGTATATCTATACCCCACTGATTGAAAGGATCTTCAGATCGCCAACAAATAAGCCTCCCGTGGGAATGGAAAGGTTCCTCTCAGAGACCTGAATTATTAATGTCTTTCAAAAAAGAGATTAAATTCATAGATTATAAATAATGTCAGTTCAAAATATGAAACAGTGGAGGACTTCATTGGCAACGCAGACAGGCTGCATGCCTGGTGAGCATAGCTCTCTCAGTCCTTATGCACTTATAAAAAAAAAAGCTTTTGGTTACATAGGAGGTGTTGGATACATATGTCATGCCTTTTTATACCAACTGTAGCAAACAGGGTTAGAATAATATACTTAGGAATCAATTTTATTGAATTCAGAAACATATATCTCCACCATATGCCCTCAGAGGGCATTTTTTTTTACATGTCAGTCAGAGATCTGCTTCATCCTTCAAACAGTTTCATAGATAGGATTATTTTAAACACCTGAAATCCTGAAAGCAAAACTGACAAGGCTTCAGAATGCAAAAAGCAACAGCTTACTGTGTGCGCCATCAAGTTGAAAGCTACAGGGTCCTGATGTTTCCAGGATTGTTTGGAAAGGTAAAGATACAGTTGCCACGGATGTATCAAAAACACTGACTACCTCTTGTCATCAGCTACACAATTACATACAGCACTTTATAAAATACCATCGACTGCTAAGCTGCAATTTGGAAAAATCCCAGTTGCCATTTTCAAAAAGTGTGGTTTAATAAATTCTTATCATGAGTAAGAAACTGTTCTCTTTCACAAGCTCCGTGATGTCAGAACCAGACTGTTGCTGGCGTGACCCTCCTGCTCCAAGACTTAGATGCTATGCAGTAGGATGAAGATAAACTACATAGGACTACGCCTTTGTAAAGACAGAGTAATTAGAACCATCAGAGCCAGCATGGAGTCAAGGCTACATTGTGTTCCACATGGCAGAATTTTACTATCCATACAATGATTTTTAAAGCTCAAGTTAAATAGTCTGTAAAGCATTTGGTACTACGATCTATCAATACAGTTTTGGAAACTGTCAATCAGGTCTGATTTTGTGCACATTTCCTGGACCAAGCCACTATTAGAATTCACTGCCTCTGGTCAGCTTTTTTTACAGTTTATAATCAATCGATGTATCCATGTCAGCTAACACCCATTAAGCTTCGCCATGGGGCAGCAGAGTAAAAAGAGAAGTAATGCTACAAAATCGATTCTGCAGATAACAGTTCTGCATACTCTGTCACAGGAATGCAGACTTGCAGAGCATGCAAATAAAATATTTATTTATGTTTAAGTTCCTGTCAATCAAAACCAGGCAATGATTAAACTGGCCACATGGAAAGGAGGGAGCGTGAGTCAGGGAGGCAGAAAGGGGTGCACTTGTCGACGTGCTCTGCTCTATCCCATTTTCCAAGAGGCCCAGGAAATGTCAGGTCATGGCTGCAAACAGGTTATGAGGACAGTGATTACAGCCAGGTTAGGAAGGGCTCGCTTTTGTTCAGAGCGGACTCTACATCGTTGAAGAGTGGGATCAGATCTTCAGATTCCAAAGTTCCTAGGTCAACGTTTGTTCCCGGAAGACAGTCCAGGAAATCAGGAAAACGGGTCTGCTGGGGATTGATGTTCATGGGGGTCTGTCCTGCACTTTCTCCTGCAACAGAACGAAAGGAAACCATTTCAACTCTTACAGCTTTTGAAAGTGAGACAGAGCAAGTGTTACGACTCTCATCTTTGCGTCTTCAGCGACAGCATCACTGACCCTCACTCAGAAGAGGTGCAGAGAGGGGCCAGCTGTGTAGTGCAGTGGTTAAGCAAAGTGTTTCAGGAGCTGGATCCCATCTGACCGACCAGGGTTCAAATCTCAGCTCCGGTGGCTTAAAAAGCACACTGAGTAGATGCATTCCCAATACCCTGACAGGGTAAAGACGTAGAGGGAAAAGGACTGCAGTGTGACTGTGCCTCATTGGGGATTTGTTTTTTCCCTCTAGTAATTAAAAGGGAAAAAAAAATAATAAAATTTTAAAAAGACTACAAAGATGCTGGGAGAACCTTTCATTGCTTCTGGATAGACGTGGTCCAGAACAGCAAAGTCTGGAGAGGTTCACAAAGACCATGCAAACAGGACTATGGATCTGGCCTATAATCGGTGCCTTCCCACCACACAGAGGCATGAAAAGCTGTTTGGAGAAAGAGAGGCCCTGCCTGTAATGAGCACCTTATTACAGAGCTAAGCTGTGGGTTTAATTGTAAGCTTATATTTACCCATATCAGCCTTCTTTATGTTCAAAGAGAATACTGTGGAGTTTCTTTTAACCATGTTATTAAAACGCTATCCTCATTGATGGTTTCAATTTATAAAGTGGGATCTGCAAATCCGCCCTCCTCCCTCAATACATGCATTCCGCTGCTATTTCTCATATGAACATATTTAGGGTGTAAGTTTTGGAATAAAGAAAATTAAATAATTTTGTTTAAATCACTATTTCTTTCTTTTATTCTTCCTTTCGTTCTCTTTCCTTTCTTTCCCTGTCTCTCTTTCTTTCATTTATGTATTTATTTTTTTTGTTATAGGGTGTGTGCGCTCACCAGAGATCCAGAAAGTGAGAAATCACCCCCCAGGAGGGATGGCCACGCCGCAATCCCTTCTCTACCTCTCTCCTCTCGGGATTTTAGGCACGTGCACACAACATGTACCCAGCATGAGTTTTAAGCTACCGGGTTTGGGCCTCGACCACAGCGGACTACGTGGGAGTCCAGCAACAGAGCCATTACGCCATCTGCTGGTCCCTAAGCCACCATTTCTTAAACCTACCTCATCGATCCTATTTGGGCGGCCCATCTATCCTAACAGAATTAGCGTTCTGGAGAACACAGCTGAGAAAGCGCAGTACTAACGGAACGTGAAGTGTCTGGAGTATGGCATTTCCAAGAGCATGGGTGGGAATGCATGGGCTTGTGCCATGAGACGGAGCTTTCAGACCCATTTAACTTGTCTGCCTCTCAGTTCACCCACTGGGAAACTAGGACCTTCTTCACGAGTTAAGTGTCAGCCCACACCCATGGCTCTAGGGTCGCCCACACATACACAACTACACACACAGAAATGTAACAGGTGTCTGTGGATTGTGCTGAGAGAAAGAAAAACCTAGAAATTTAGTGTCTATTCATTAGACAGTATTAGAACAACTGGCTAATTCAAATAGCCCCCAATATATGATTTTCTGAAGGGATAAAAATCTACCCTCGCCCTGAGAAGCACTGATAACTAAGGCAAGCGTCAACCTAACATCATTTTTTTAAAAATGTAAAACTTGTCATTTTTTTAAAAAGTCTTGCATCTTTTAAGTCAGTAGCCTTCTGAAAAGAGTGCATGTTACTCTGAGCAAAATGGCAGAAAATTCGCTTCAGCCACATGTGTCTTCCAAGGACAATAGTCGCATCCTTTTGGGTGATGAAGGAAGTGTAACTAAGCTTGCATCTTAGTGACAGCAAGGCATAATGGCATTTCCGGAATCACAAAACAGCCACGGCAGCATTTTCACTCCAAGGGGCAATCATTTGAAAAATTAAAACAGGTTCAACAATGTGATCTCAACATAGTGTTACTGCTACTGGAAAACAATATCAAAATAGAAAAGAAAGCTCAAAATAAACTTTTTCTACCCCAGTAGAGTATAAAAGATGGAAATGTGGCTTAAAAATGATCTGTCCTTGAAAAAAAAAAAAAAAAAGCTATCTGATCTAAAGGTGGTTTTTTGTTTTCTGGGTTTTTCTTTTTTTTGAGAGGTTTTTGCTATAGGGTGTGTGCACTCATCAGAAAGACAGAGAGAGACAGAGAGACAGAAAGCAAGAAATCACCCCCCGAGAGGGGCGATAGCCACGCTGCAATCCCTTCTCCTCCATTCTCCTCTCGGGATCTTGAGCACGCACGCACATGCGCCTGTTGTCAGTTTAAGCCACTGAGTCTGGGACCCAAACTGCGGTCGACTACATGGGAGTCTAGCGACATAGCCATGATGCCAACTGCTGGTCCCGAAATAAGCATATTCACTCCATCTTCTTAGGTGAGCAGTCTGAGGCCAGCAGAGGTTACATAACCAAGCCAAAGTCACTCTCAGAAAAGTAGAGAAGCAAGGATTTGACTCGGGTTGCCTGTCTGCAAAGACTATGTTCGTCTCAGGGCACCCCTGAATCCCAACATCCTGGCTCCACCATCCTCCCTATTTACCCACTTGAGGTGATTTTAAAAAGACATGGACTAGAATCCACTTTTTTTTTTTTCCCAATATTTAGAACTCCTGGGGTTATTCTTATTTAACTTTGCTTTTTATCTCTGCCGGCTTTCCCAGTGTTTAAAAGATGAAACTAAACAGCTATTAAACACAGGAAGGAGCAATTTCACGAGGCTGCTCCTGAGACGGCAAAATCAATCTCACACCAAGAACTAGAGAGAGATGAAAGGAGGGTGGCAGAGGGGAAGGGACTGAGTCATAAATCGAAGAAGAGCAAAACAGTTGCAGCTATTCCTGTGTGACTCCTCACAGACAGCCTGTGCGTTCGTCTAAACAGACAGAGACAGCCTGCAGTAAACTCCGGGCGGCGGCTCCCACGGCCTGTGCTTGCGAGAGGCCCGGCCTAGAGTTGAACCCTTGGTCTCACCAGAATGTAGATTCTCAGCACCGTATATATAGAATAAGAGAGCATTTATGTGAGGAGGAGGAGCCACCCAAGAGCAGCGTGTAACAAACCACACACACTGTGGATGAGTGCTCTGCGGACAATGCTGTCTTAGGTTTCATCACAGGACAATTCATTTCCTACCCTCGGTGATGGTGGAGGAAAAGCTCGCATGAATAATTCCGAATGGTGATATTTCGGCTATCACTTGTTTTAGGTCTACGACATCTTCCAGGAGCTTACGACTTCCGTAATTAAGTCTAGCCTGGGCTAATAAGACTAAATTCAGTTTTGGCTATTGACAGTCTCACTCCTTGAGGACAGGAGAGTGACAAAGATCATCCAGGAAGCCTGCTGAGGCCTTGCTGAAGGGTACAAGGCTGGCGATGAGAGGAAAGCCACCCTGACTCCCTCCTTCTTAATTGCGGAGGGAGGACATTGTGGCCATGGTGGAACTTGGAACTGACAATTTAGAACTCTCTGGAAATGGAAGTGGCTTAACTTCCCAAATCGCTTCCTAAATGCAGTGAATGACATGGAAGAATCTGCCTGCTGGTGGAACCATAACTAGTACCACTTCCTGGGAGAGAAAGTGGCTCATCCGTTACAAACGAAGACTGTAGGCCAGCTGGGGCCTGGTGGTTAAGGTGGCTGGATCCCATATGGCAGACGGAGTGGCTTGAGACACATGCTGGGCACTTGCGCATACATGCCCAAAATCCTGAAAGAGAGAGATGGAGAAGAAAGAATTGCAGTGTGACCATGCCCCATGGCGGGGGGTGCTTCTCACCCCCTTCTCTCCACTCTCTGTGAGCACACGAACCTTCTGGAAAAACTTTAAAATATCTAAATACCAGGACCAGCAGTTGGTGTAATGGCTATGTTGCTGGACTCCCTATGTAGTTGACCGCGGTTCAAGTCCTGGACCCGGTGGCTTAAACTCATGCCAGGCGCGTGTGCGTGCGTACCCAAGATCCCCAGAGGAGGATGGAGGAGAAGGGATTGTGGCATGGCCATCCCCCTGTAGGGTGATTTCTTGCTTTCTGTCTCTCTGTGGAAGAAAGACAAAACCGGCAGTAATAACTTAATGCAACTGTGGGGAAGGGGGCATAGCAAAGCAAGAATGAGTTTTAAAAAAAGGAAGAATTTAAACTCCTGTGCCCACAGGTAAAATTATACAATGCCTTATAAACTGTGAGGACGGGGTAGAGTTTATTAATAGTGCCTGAAGGCTGGATGGCTTTTCAGTGTCATTTCCTATTTTTCTGTTAAGATGTAGCGTTTCCAGATGGGTTTTAGAAGTGAGACGACTGAAGTTACGATTTGAAAAACGCCAGCCCTGGCAGGGTGTGGTCCTACCTGTGTCCATCTCGTCCACGTTGCTGAGGAAGTCCTCTGGGGTCGTGGGGACGCTGTAGCACCCCAGCCCCAGGCCGCTGTCGGTGCTCTGCTCCCTCGAATGGTATGGCCCTCTGCAGAGCATATGAGGGAGAAACGTCAATGTGAGCCCATGAAGGAAAACCCACAACTACAACGCGGTCACATAACCCTAACCAAGGGTCGTCCTGTCCCCTGCCCACCTCCGCGGCAATGAAGGGGAGCAGACTGAGCCTCCCCTTAATTCTGCCTAATGGCAGTGAAATGAATGGACTGTCAGCAAGTAAAACTGGCCATTCAGTCAACTGATAATGATTTTTCTTTTTCACCTCAAAATAACCACTGAGGGCCAGTAGGTGGCCTGGAGGTTAAGGAGGCTGGATCTTACACGGCCAACCGCACTGCCTGAGGCCCAGACTTGGCGACTTGAAAATCACACTAGGTACGTGTGTGTGCCCAAAATCCTAAGAGGAGAATGGAGAAGGGATTGTGGTATGACCATTCCCCCCAGGAGCAAGATTTCTCACTTTCCCTCCTGTCTCTCTCTCTCTGTCTCTGGCACACACACGTGTTCTATAGCAAAACTTAAAAAATAAATAAATACAGAATATAGTACCATTTATGTAAGTTCAGAAAAAACAGAGAACAGGGCCAGTAGGTCACATAACGTTTATGGCAATGAACTCCCACATGGCTGACCACTGTCACAGTTTGAGTCCTGGACCTGGAGGCTTAAAACTCATTCTGGGCACATGTGCGTGTGTGCTCAAAATCATCCCAAGAGGCGACTGGAGGAGAAGGGATTGTGGTGTGGCCATCTCCCGCCAGGGGGTGATTTCTCGCTGTCTCTCTGTTGAGTACACTACAGCAAAAAATCTAAAAAAAAAAGAAATCAAAACACAAAACCAAACAAAACCACAACAACTCTCTAAGCATAGGAGTGTACATGACTAAAATCCTGAGAGGAGACTGGATGAGAAGGGACTGCAGCATGGCCATCCCCCACGAGGGTGATTTCTCACTTTCCTTCTCTCTGTCTCTCCAGCGAGCATATGCACCCTATGGCAAAACCCTCAAAAACAGGGGGACCAGCAGTTGGTGAAATGGCTATGTCGCTGAATTCCCATGTAGTCAACCGTGGTTCGAGTCCTGGACCCAGTGGTTTAAACTCATGCCGGGCACGTGTGCGTGCGTGCCCAAGATCCTGAGAGGAGAATGGAGGAGAAGGGATTGCGGCGTGGCCATCCCCCCTAGTGGGGGGGGCGGTGATTTCTCGCTTTCTGTCTCTCTGTCTTTCTGGAGAGCGCACGCACTCTATAGCAAAAACCTATGCAAAAAAAGAAAAAAAAAAAAACAAAGAAAAAAACCCCTCAAAAATAAAACAAAACAGAGAACAATGCTGAACACTGCTTACAGAGGCGCACACCAGTTTTTGAATGGTGGCCATCACTGGGGACAAAAAATGGGGGACAAATAAGCTATGAATGATGGTGGGAATGGGTTAAAGTATTAATTGTAATGTGTCTGTTACTTAAAAATCAAATGGAAATATGGCAAGTCTGGCATATGGGTACAGGAGCAACACTGATTCATACTTGATACTTTTCTGCACTTTAAATACTTTAAAATCAACAGTTTAACCACAGTCTTATTTTGGATTCTGTTCCATTTTCATCTCTTGCTGTATATCTTTAATAACACTTGTTGGGGCCAGCAGGTGGCATGGTGGTTAAGGCGCTGGACACTTCCACATGGCCGACCATGGTTCAAGTCCTGAACTAGTGGCTTGCTTTCTCACTTCTCCTGTGTGTGTGTGTGTGTCTGGTAAAATGAAAATGAAATTAATGAATAAATAAAATTAAATAAATAATTACTTTAAAAAATAGCACTTGTATTTATTTGTTTGTCAGAAACCCCTGGATGGCAGAAAGAAATAGGAAAGCGAGTACTGCCCTTTCTTTGGGTTTAAAAGCATACAACTGGGGTTGCCACTTCTGCTGAGAAAGATAGCTTTAGCTACATTGCCTTTTCCTTCTCTCCGTTTCATTTTCAAAAAATCATCTCTTTGTTTTAATATATATTTTATTGGAAAATAATTTTAAATTCACATAGAAAAGACAAAAGAGTATGAGAGTTCCCATGCACCTTCACCTAACATTCCCAGGGACAGACAGCATCTCACAGAACCATTGAGCAACGACCAAGCCAGGAAAATGAACTGCAGAGAGCACACAGAGACCTTTCTTGAGTTTCACCATAAACATCGCCACCTACTGGTTTTGTGCTCCACTTGCTGTATGACATGTTTGATCCCCTTGGTGGTTACATAAAACCACAGATTTCTCCTAGTATCATTGCCAGACAATGCCATCCTGTTTAAATTATAAGTTCATCCCCACTTTTTAAATGTCTTGACTAGGGGTTTACTCCATATGATATCATCAATTTTTTAATTTGAGACTTTTTTTTAAAGGTTTTTGCCATAGGGAATATGTGCTTGCTGGAAAGAGACATAGAGAGGGAAAGTGAGAAATCTTCCCTTCTAGGGGACATGGCCATACCATAATCCTTTCTTCTCCATTTTCCTCTCTAGACTTTGGCCATGTACACACTCATGCCCAGTGTGATTTTTCTAGCCACTGGGTCTGGGACTCAAACCATGGTCTATCATGTAGGAGACCAGCATCTTAATCACTACGCCACCTCCTGGCCCCTGAGAATTTTTTAAAAGGTAGACAGCTTTCTCTGCTTTTCATTTTTCTGTGAGGTCTGCTCCCCTTTCCTCCCTCTGCGCTCACCCGCAATCCTCAAGCTCACCTTTCACCTTTCCCAATGTAAACCAAGACATCATCATGCCTCAGAACACATAATCAAGAGATCGGAAAATAAGTGCCTCCCCCCACCCCCAAATGTTAACTTACCCATTGAGGAAAGGATCAGAGCTATTGTTAGTGATGGATCTCATGTCCGGTGTCATGGCGGGCGGGTTGACAGCAGCCTGAACTGTGGCCAGAGTCTCGGCCTCCATGGGGAGCTGTCTGCAGAGGGCAGCTTCCTACAGAAAGAGGACAGTCAGACAGATAGACAAGGGTCATCATTCACCCACAGTCACAAGGATGGGAGCAGAGGATACTCCACGTGACAACTTTCCACCAAATACACTTCTATGTCAAAATCATCAGGAATTGTTCTTTCCCTGAAGAAAGTCTTAAAGGCAAAAGTCACTCACATTCACAAAGCTAATGGGAAGCTCAATCAACATTTAACCTCAAGGCACTTCTGTTGCAATAGAGCCTCCCACTCATGCAATTGCTTAAAACCCAGATCACATAAAGGCCTCTCACGACATCTCAGAGACAAGGCTGTTGCTATCCCAGGTTGTGAGACCAAATCTAAACCACGCAAAGCACACTCCTCTGGACTAGCAGGTACATTCTGATCTTCGCTCTTATACACAAGCCCATAAAGCTGTGCGGTTACAGAATTCAGGCTCTACATTAAATTATACCTGGCAGTTTTATGGCAACAGCCAGGAGAGCAAAACAACCAGTTAGAAGTTTGTTTAAAAATGTCAGTCAGACCCAGCCATGTGTCACACAGCCTTAGCGCTCTGTGGGCAGGGATACGGAAGCTCTCTCTAGAAATAAAGAATCTTACAAAAAAGTGAATCAATTTTTTTCTATTTGACTTTTTATTTTATTTTATTTTTTTGCTATAGGACACGTGCACTTACTGGAGAGGGGGAAAGAGACAGAGAGAGAGAATCACTCCAAAGAGAGATGGCAATGTTGCAATCCCTTATCCTCCATTCTCTTGGGATTTTCAGAATGCATGCATGAATATGTGCCTGGTGTGATTTTTCAAGCCACTAGATCCAGGACTCGAACTTTGGAGTTGGCCATGTGGACCCAGGCACCTCAATATCCACACCACCTGCTGGCCCTTATTCAACTAAATTTTAAGTGTACTCTTATTCATGATAGTGAGCACAAGTGTGTGCATGAGAGAGAAAAGGAGAAGAAAAGAGATGGACCCAACAGAATCTCGTCACATTAGACCCCATCTCCTAGCCCTCCAGTGCATCTACCTGGGTACGTGTGTGACCAGTGCATTTCAGGGTGACTGGGCTGGGGACCTGAACACGTGGTCAGCTCTGTGGCCTCCAGCACTGTGGTTCAGAGCACTACTGACCCACAGTGGGACTCTGTGTGTTGGTTTCTTTAAGTGTATTTTTCTTCCATGAAAGAGAGAGAGAAGAAAAGAGGAGAGGGAGGTTCTCTATGCTATGACCCACCTCCAGCCACAGCAAGCCTGGATGACACACATGTATGTGTGCTACACCCAACGTGTGGAGCGAGACCTTAGGATGCCAACCCAGGACACTCCCATGCAGCCTCCGGAGTGCAGACGTAGCATCACCATGGCGCCACATGGCTGGCCTAGTGGTTCATTGACTTGACCAAAATGCTTCAACCAGGTAGACCCAATCAAAATCCCACGGACCATTAACTGTTTGGTGGCACATAGATTTTATTAGCAAAAAAATTATTAATATAACACAAGCATTTATTTTTTTAGTTAGCATTACTTTGTCAAGGAGAGTCGATCTAAAAGGTTACATATTGGGAACCAGCAGTTAGCGTAACGGCTATGTCGCTGGACTCCCACGTAGTCGACCGCGGTTCGCATCCCGGACCCGGTGGCTTAAAACTCACGCTGGGCGCGTGTGCGTGCGTGCCCAAGATCCCGAGAGGAGAATGGAGGAGAAGGGATTGCGGCGTGACCATCCCCCCTGGGGGGTGATTTCTCGCTTTCTGTCTCTGTGTCTCTCTCTGTCTGTCTGGTGAGCGCACACGTCCTATAGCGAAAACCTCTCAAAAAAAGAAAAAAAAAAAGGTTACCTATTTATTGACTGCAATTCCTTCCTCTAGGTCTAAATAACCTCCAGGAATCTCTCCTATTTTGACAAACAAGACATCAAATTCCATTCCGATTCGCTGTTTCCAGAGAAGAATACTTGTACACATTTGTACTTGCATCCAAAACCATGCTGAGGCCCTTCCCCGTGTTTATGCCTATCAGTTACCCACTTTCCATGCTGAAGTCACTGGTCTCACCACCCCTCAAACCCCAAAACCATGGCTACAATGGCAAACAGAACATTCAGGCCATCGACGTTACAGTATCTTTGTCAGAACTCTTCCAGCCCTGACACGCTATGACTGCAGAGCGTGAACGCTGTCTAGACAAGTCTCAGTGAAGTCATCGGCCATAAACATTTTCCGTTACTAGAGTTCATTGTGTTGTTACCAAGAATTATGGGAGCATGACGTTTCCAAACCGTGAGAGCCCTGATGGCCTAAAAAACTGCATTGTTAACTTCTACTGAAATAAATACCCTCACTAGAAAGGACTTCTGGTTCACGTCTGTTCATCTAGATTGCAAATTACTGGAATGTTTGAGAAATGTTATTCAGTATTCAAAAAAAAAAAAAAAGATGGAGATTTTCTTAAAGGTGATTTTAGTTCTCATTCAAGCCTCTGATCTATCTTCTGAATAAGTTTAGAAATATCTAAAAAAGCTCATATAGTGGGAAACAGCATTTAGCGTAATGGCTATGTTGCTGGACCCCCACGTAGTCGACCGCGGTTCGCGTCCCGGATCTGGTGGCTTAAAACTCACACCGGGCATGTGTGCGTGCGTGCCCAAGATCCCGAGAGGAGAATGGAGGAGAAGGGATTGCGGCGTGACCATCCCCCCTGGGGAGTGATTTCTCGCTTTCTGTCTCTATGTCTCTCTCTATCTGTCTGGCGAGCGCACGCGTCCTATAGCAAAAATCTCTCCAAAAAAAAAAAAATAGATAGGACACAAAATAATGCTTGTGTGTGTTCAAGAGGACAACTTATAATAACCAAAACTAAAAGAACCTACACTATAGTGGAGAAAACATTTCACATTTGTTCTCTCCAACTTCTCTCTCTCTCTGTCTCTCTCTCTCTCTCTTTGAGGGATTTTTGTTATAGGGTACACACACTCACTGGAGAGAGAGAGAAAGACTGAGAGATAAAAAGTGAGAACTCACCCCCCCAGGGGAGATGGCCACACTGCAGTGCCTTCTCCTCCATTCTCCTCTTAGGATTTTTGAGCATGCAAGCAAATGCACCCAGCATGAGTCTCAGGCTGCCAGGTCTGGGACATATCCCAGGTCTGGAACATGAACTGCAGTCAACCATGTGGGAGTCCAGTGCCCCAACCACTATGCCACCTGCCATTTCCATTTTCAATGAAGGAGACTGAAGTTCCATTTTTCAGTCTAGGTGTTTCCCAAACTACTTTGAGATCTGACCAAGTCGTTACAAGCAGAAACTCTAGGTCCTGTCCAGAGGTGTGCACAAGATGATTAACAAGTGAGAGAGAATACAGAAAGGGTGTTGAACACACCTGAAGAATAACTTTGCAATGTAAATTACAGAACACTGAGTTAGGAGATGATTATTTATAATGCTGTACTTTGTCCAGGATTATCCCAAGATCATTCTTGAGTTACTAATCATTCCCTACGCAGCCAAAGGAAGATCATGTGGCTGCTGCTCTCAACCCACCTCCTTCCTGTCCCACCTGGATGGTACCTGGCGGCAGGTCTTCCTGGATCCCACAGCGCCCTGCGTGACAACACCCCTTGTCTCTGACACGCTCCCTCACTCACTCTCTTCCAGTCTCCTGGTCTTTCCCTCCACCTCTGACAGCTGTACCAACTGTTTCCTCTGCTTGGAACAGACTCCCCAGAGCATTCCAAAGCTCACCCTCTCACTAAGCCCATCTCCTACAAATGTCACCTCTTCAGAGATGCTCTTCCCTGACCCCTGTCTAAAATAGCCTCTCTCTTGTCATTATCTATCTCTTAGCCTGCATTAATTTTCTTCATAGCAACACAGGGATGTACTCTCTCTCTTTCCTACTAGGATGTACACTCCACAGGGGAAGGGAACATATCTGTCATGTCCACTGCTATATCCCCACTACCTACAACAGTGTCAGGCATACGATAGGTGCTCGATAATTGTGCGCTCCATGAATACATGAAAAATATTACTGGAATCCAAATGCAACTATTTTAAATTGTGATTGATAATGAAGAACGAAGGAAAAAAGGAAATAAGGAACATTCCATCTCACCTTCAACCACAAACAGGAATGGAATAATAGCCGACAGTATAAAACCCAACTAGCCAGGTGTTAGCTTCATCCTCAGCTAACAGCCCCACTGTCTCTGTCTGAGGATGAACAAGAAGACAGAGCCAGGAGCAGGAATTTGGGGGCTAGGTGCTTGGATTTGCATGGTGGCCCTGCAGTCTCTCCACAAGTTACACACCCTCTGTGGTCACCATCTATAAAGAAGAGCTAGTGGGAACCAGCAGTTGGCGTAATGGCTATGTCACTGGACTCCCACGTAGTCGACAGCGGTTCCCGTCCCAGACCTGGTGGCTTAAAACTCACGCCGGGCATGTGTGCGTGCCTGCCCAAGATCCCAAGAGGAGAATGGAGGAGAAGGGATTGCGGCGTGACCATCCCCTCAGGGGGAGTGATTTCTTGCTTTCTGTCTCTATGTCTCTCTCTGTCTGTCTGGCAAGTGCATGTGCCCTGCAGCAAAAAACTCTCCAAAAAAAAAAAAGAAAGAAGAGCTAGTCAGAGAGCTGCAGCGATGACAGTGAGGGTGCTGACAACACTGCCTGGCCCCTGAGACCACTTAATAAATGTTAACTAATTATTGTTACTATTTCACGTTCTCTATTCCAATCTCTAAAAGCAAATACAACAAACTTTTTTTTGAGAGGTTTTTGCTATAGAGCGCGTGCGCTCGCCAGAGAGACAGAGAGACAGAAAGTGAGAAATCACCCTGCAGGGGGATGGTCACGCCTCAATCCCATCTCCTCCATTCTTCTCTCGGGATCTTGGGCATGCACGCACACACGCCTGGCATGAATTTATTAAGCCACTGGGTCTGGGACTCAAACCACAGTCAACTACATGGGAGTCCAGCGACATAGCCATTA